ATATTAAATTTTTTTTAAAATTTGATATAATTCAATCTTAAATTAGTTAAAATTTAATTAAAATTAATGTAATTTTTAAATATTAAAAAATTAATAAAAATACAAACAAAAACGTTTGTGTAATTAACAGCTCCTGGATGCTTAAAAGTTTTATAATGAGTTTGGATTCGGGAGCTTTGAGGAAGAACAGAAGGGGAAATATCTCATTTCTTTTATTTGGATTATTTTTGCTCCTCTGCCCTTTTTTTTTTTTTTTTCGAACAATGAAAAATTTGAGAGAATATGGGAATTGTATGTTATAAGATAAGTATCATACTTACATATTTGTTGGAATAGGCTCAACATTCAAACAGGACTGTGTGCAACGGGCCTAGGCTACTGCCCAATAACCCAAGTTAAGGGAACACTAATGCAAGCATGCCCATGTGACCAGCACCACGTGGGCTAATAGGATGCTCACATGTACAGATACATGTCAGCACTTGGGGCTATAAATACCCCTCAACTACCTCCGATGAAGGTAATTAATCTTTACGCTTCTCTCTCTGCAATTACTCTTTGAGAGCTTCTCTCTCTAGAATATTGAGTATTGCTGACTTGAGCGTTGGAGTGTTTTCCCCGAGGGAGCAGCCTCGGGATTTGCAGGTGTAGAAGCAGCTGAGGACTTCAACAGTGTTGGATTGCGAAGCTGCCTAAACATTTGGCGTCGTCTATGGGAAACTTGAACAAAAAGTTGTGTAGCTTAACCTGCTGAAAGACAAAATGGTTCGAACTTTTACAGGAGGTCGTCCCCCAAGAAATGAAGTGGACGAACAAGAGGACACTCAGCTGTCTGAACTCGGTTTGAATGATTTGGGACCAATGCCGAGGAACCTTTTCGTAGGGGGAGCAGAACAGGATCAGTTAAGTGGAACATATGATGATGAAAGGACACCAACTGGGTATGCAACTCAGCTCGAACATTTCCAAGTTCCAACAGGAACAAGACAGAGACAACCCAGACCTGGCAATCTGCAACAAGAACGACCTCAAAGGTCAGCAGAGCTTGCTCGAACAACCGAGCTCGAAGAGAGAACCAGAGTTTTCGAGATGGCAATGGGTAAAATCCTTGCCCGCCTGTTTCCGGATGACCCCCTGATTCCTTTGTTGAACAGGGATGCACAACTAGCTACGGTTGTTGCGACTCGAAACTCCCCCGCTCTAAGCAACATAATAGTGCCGACCAGGCCAAGGGGAAGTGGGAAACTAAATAACGAGCCCTGCTCGTCCAAACATAGTGAAGAATTGATGAGAAAGAATGCAGACCTTGAAAGGCAACTGCGGGACGTACAGAAGTCCATTGACAAGCTGAAAAGCCCCAGGTCGCACCAACAAACCCTTGATTTGGATAATGCTCCACTGAACCTATCCATCACAGCAGAACCATATCAAGAGGGATTCAAAATTCCCCACCTGGAGACATATGATGGCTCGGGCGATCCAGATGAACATCTACACACCTATCAAGCCATCATGAGGATCCAAAATGCCAATGATGCCATGATGTGCAAAGTGTTCCCAGCGACACTGAAATTAATGGCCAGAAGATGGTATCACAAGCTCCCCAGACATTCTATAGACTCATACTCTCAGCTCGCCAAGCTATTCTCCAACAAATTCGCGAGCCAGAGGGAGATCAAACGCACAGCAACCAAGCTAATGCAAGTTAATCAGAGGGAAGGGGAATCTCTGAGGGACTACATGCAGCGATTCAACAAAGCCACTTTGGACATCGATAACGTCCCAGACACCATCTACCTGTCCGCCTCGCTGCATGGTTTAAAGCGTGGTCGGTTTCTGGACAACCTGCTAGAAAACCCACCAAAGACGTGGAACGAAGTCAATGACAAGTCAGCTAGCTTCATACTATCCGAAGATTTCCAGTCGTCCAAGCGGCGAGCTGATGACAAGCAGAACAAAAGTCACGATCAGCCGTCGAGGAGAGAAGAAAAGAAAAAGCAGAAAGTTAATGAGCAATGGGGGAAGCCAGCTGAATTCCCGAAATACGCTAACTATATCCCTCTGACCTTGCCTAGGTCTCAAATCCTAGCACAAATCCAGCATTGGGTTAGAAGACCCCCACCCCCATTACATGATTCCCTGAGAGCAGACAAGAGCAAGCACTGTGACTACCATTGTGTATACGGTCACAACACAGAAGATTGCCAACACCTAAAAGACGAGCTGGAGTTCCTGGCTCGCGATGGGAAATTGGAAGGATATGTTTAGAAGCTCCATACCCAGCAACCCATTCAAGCTCATTTTGTACAAGGGTATGACCGACCTCAGGGGCAAAGGTACCAGCTCGGCGGCGCACAAGATGCACATCAGGATAACCAGTATCCTTCCGAGCAAGGCAGGACTTACAGGGGACGTCAATTTAATAGGCGAGGCCAAGGACAGAAAACCACCGCCCAGAACCAAAGAGACTGGAAAAGGGTGGGTTATGCTGGGATTCCCCCACCTTCGGGCACAATAAATATGATATCAGGTGGAGTTCACTTCGGAGGCCAAAACGCCAGAGCTCGCAAAGCGCATGCACGCCAGGTGATGACTGTTAACAAAAACAGGCCTTTGAAACGCCCATTTGAAGAAGCAGACTGGGAAAATGTACCAGTCACCTTCAGCCCGGCAGATTATAAGCGAGCAGAAGGGGAGCCCGACGTTATGATGCCACATGCAGATCCTTTCGTGGAAACAGTTCATATAGGCAACCATAACGTCAACAAGGTCTTCGTTGACACTGGCAGTTCACCAGATATCCTATACTGGAGTTGCTTCCAGAAGATGCAGCTAAATCCGAGCTCGCTGTAGAAGCACGAAGGGCCAATATATGGGTTTGACAATTAGCCCGTCCCGGTTGAGGGAGTCATTACTCTGCCCATCTATGTGGGCTCGGAACCACGTTTCATGATGGCTTCCGTCACCTTCCTGATCGTCAAGATGGAATCAGCCTTCAATGCTATATTAGGAAGAGCCACCCTGTGCGAGCTGAAGGCTGTTATCTCTCAACCCTATCTCTGTATGAAATTCCCAACTCCTCAAGGGGTAGGAGTACTTAGGGGAAACCAGAAGATGGCTAGAGCCTGCTATCAAGATACGTTCAAGAAAGTTCAGCTCACGGCAACACCGGTAGGTTTTGAGAATCACAAACCAACTCAGGCCGGTCAGCAGACAATGAGCATATCAGACATCGAGCATCGACCTGCGGGTGTCGAGCAGAAAGCAGAGCCAGTGGAGCCAGTAGAAACAGTCCCTCTAAACCCGGATGTGCCAGAAAGGACGGTTAGGATCGACACCAAGCTCACAGAAGAGGAGCGTGCAAAGCTTCTGGAGTTTTTGAGGATTAATCAGGATGTGTTTGCGTGGACTACGGATGAAATGCCTGGCGTTCCAGCAGAGTTGACAATCCACAGGCTCAGCACGGACCCTACCAGAAGGCCAGTGGTTCAAAAACGTCACCTTTTTGGCCCCGAGAAGCAAGCTGCCATAGATGAAGAGATACAAAAGCTGTTACAGGCAGGCTTCATCAGAAGAGTGGAATACTCTGAATGGGTGTCCAACCCTGTGCTCATCAAAAAGCCAAATGGCAAGTGGAGGATGTGTATTGACTTCGCCAACATCAATGATGCGTGTCCAAAAGACCCTCATCCCTTGCCAAATGTCGAGAAGTTAGTAGAGCGGGCAGCCGGACATGGACAGATGAGCTTCCTTGATGCCAGTTCGGGTTATCATCAGGTCCAGCTGTTGTTAGACGACCAGGAGAAAACAGCTTTTTATGCCGGTGACGCAATCTACTGCTATGTGATGATGCTGTTTGGCTTGAAGAACGCTGGTGCAACATATCAGAAGCTTGTGCAAATCATTTTCAAGCTCCAGATCGGCAGAAACATAGAAGTATATGTGGATGACATGATAGTCACCAGTGTACGAGCTAAAGATCACATAGGCGACCTGAGTGAGACCTTTCAAAATTTACGCCGAGCTCAAATGAAGCTAAATCCCCTGAAATGCACATTTGCTGTAGAGTCAGGGAAATTCCTAGGATACGTGGTATCCAAGAAAGGAATTGAAGTCAATCTAGAGAAAGTTCAGGCCGTTCAGTAGATGGAGCCGCCCAAGACTGTCAAAGAGGTGCAGCGGTTGACGGGCCGTGTCGCTGCACTGCATAGATTCATAGCCAGGTCGGCAAAAAGATGCCTCCCCTTCTTCAAAGCCCTGAGAGAGCCCAAAAACTTTCAGTGGACGGGTGAATGTCAACAAGCGTTTGACGAGCTCAAACAATATCTGGCATCAGCACCTCTGTTGTCCAAGCCTATGGAAGGAGAGAGTTTATACATGTACCTGGGGGTTATAGAAGAGGCAGTGAGCTCAGTCATACTCAGGGAAGAGAATAGGAATCAGAAGCCTATCTGCTACGTGAGCAAGGTTTTACAAGGTGCCGAGCAGAACTACCCAATAGCAGAAAAGTCTACTTTTGCTTTGGTCTGCACAGCTCGTAAGTTGAGAGCTTATTTTCAATCTCATTAGATTGTTGTTTATACTGATTTCCCGCTGAGGAAAATATTACAGAAACCTGAACTCTCTGGTCGGCTCATCGGGTGGAGCGTCGAGTTGAGTGAGTATGACCTTAAATTTCAACCGCGCACGACTATAAAAGGACAGGCTGTGGCAGACGCCTCGAAAACTGTGAAAGAAAAGGCACCTGAACACCCAGTCTGGGTTTTGTATGTAGATGGAGCTGCTAATGTTGAAGGATTAGGTGCTGGGGTTGTACTGTTAGGGCCGGATGGCTTTAAATTCGAGCACGCGCTGAGATTCAAGTTTCAAACAACTAACAATGCAGCAGAGTATGAAGCCCTCATCTATGGCTTGAACTGGCGTCCGAGCTGAAGGTACAGAGCATTCAGGTTTTTAGCGACTCTCAGCTCGTTGTGGGCCAAGTGAATGGCAATTGTGAAATTAGGGATCCCCAGCTTGCTCGTTATGCCTTTGTGGTCAACAAATTGAAATCAAGATTTGCTTCCTTCTAGATCGACAAGATACCTAGAGCAGATAACCAACAAGCTGACGAGCTGTCGAAGTTGGCCTCCTCACAAGAGACAAACCCTCATAGGTCAACAATAGTGGAGGTACTTGATGCTCCGAGCTACACCGATTTCACAGTTGAGTGTCAGCTGCTCAGCACAGATCCATCTTCACCGAGCTGGACCACCCCACTCATAAATTATATGCAAAGTGGCGAGCTACCAGAAGATCCATCCGCTGCAAAGTTGACTAAACGGAAGGCGGCACATTTCACTTTGTTGGACAACCGACTCTATAAACGAGCAGCCTCAATGCCCCTATTGCGCTGCCTTACTCCTTATGAAGTCGAATACGCTGTGAGAGAAGTTCATGAAGGAGTATGTGGCACCCACATCGGTGGCAGGACTTTAGCTCGGAAACTTCTGAGGCAAGGTTATTACTGGCCCACTATGGTCAAGGACGCACAGAACTATGTCAAAAAGTGCCCGACCTGCCAGTTCAATGCTGATGATATCCACATGCTAGGTATCCGAGCTCGTTCTAAAGTTTGTGCAAACTTTGTGTTTGTCTATAAACTGAGCACAAGTATCTCTGTTGAAACAAGAGAAATGCTCTCATCACTCTCATCTCCTTGGCCTTTTGCTCAATGGGGAGTCGACCTGCTCGACCCTTTCGTGAAAGGTAAAGGAGGATGCACTTACCTTGTTGTCGCGGTGGATTATTTCACCAAATGGATAGAAACTAAACCATTGTCCACGACAACAGAGAAGAAAATAGAAGAATTCCTGTTTAATTCAATATTATGCAGGTATTTTTCAGTGACTTAAGCTATTGGCACATTATATGTAATTATAATTTGTGCTCAGCTCGGACATCTGTTTCCGGGTTCGGCATACCTAAACGGATCATAGCTGATAATGGTCCGCAGTTCCGAGCCGCGACGCTGAGGTCGTTCTGCAATGATTATGGAATTGAGTTGGCCTTGACATCTGTGTATACTCCACAATCCAATGGGCAAGCCGAGTCCGCCAATAAAATTGCCTTACGAGGTCTCAAGACGCGTGTTTTGGCTGCACATACTAACTGGGTTGACGAGCTCAATAAAGTGCTGTGGTCATGTCGCACTACACCCAGCTCGGCCACAGATGAAACCCCGTTCAGCTTGGCATATGGAGCTGAGCCCGTCATCCCTGTCGAGGTCGGATTACCGTTCGATCGATCAGATCGTCATGACGATCATAATAATGGACAACTCTTAAGATAAAACCTAGACCTAGTGGAAGAGGTTAGGGAGACGTCTCGAATGAAGAATATGGCATATCAGGGTCGTGTTGCAAAATTCTATAATAAGCGAGTTCGAGCTCGTCAATTTCAGGTTGGCGATCTGGTTTTACACAAGGCTAGATTAACCAATACCTATTCACACATGGGCAAGCTCGCTCCTAATTGGGAAGGCCCCTATATGGTTGTTCAAGTTAAACGACCTGGCTCTTATGTGTTAGCAGATATACAGGGACGTCAATTACCTTACATTTGAAACGTACAGAATCTTAGAAAATTTTACAGTTAACATATGTACTATTCCTTTATTCAAGTTGCTATCTGACAGTTGTAAACAATGGCATACAGAAAATACAACAGAAATTCAAAGGAAAATTCATATTTGTATTTCATCAAAGATGTTTACATTGGAAGTACATATTATATGGATCTATTGATCAAATATAAAAATGCAAAAACAAAATACAAAAATGCAAAAACAAAATACAAAAGATTAAAACGAAAAAATCCTAAGTCTAATCATCCGTCAAATCGACGGGCATAGACATGTCAGCCGCTTGCGGAGAGGAGCGGGCTAGAGGCGAGCGAGCAGTTGGCTCGGGAGCTGGCGCATTGATAGGCGACCTCAGTGGCGACACTACGGCGGGCTAAGAGTTGGGCGGGGTGCTTGAAGGCTCCTGCTCAGCTACAGAAGCACCCTCTACCCATGCATCATAAGAGGTTATCCCTGCTGGATCCTCCCCGTCCTCAAGGACTTAAGGAGGCCAAACAGGCACTCCCTCCTCGTTGAGGTCCCACCTCAACCGCACCGTTATGTCAGCAAGGGGAGCAAGACTTTTCCCCTGCTCGTCTAGATCCTCCCCGTCGAAGAACGCCAGCTCGCCAATCGGGAAGTCCGGGCGATGTTACAGCACCTTCCCATGGATCTCGTTGTAGATCTCCGTGGTCACATTTGCAGACACCACCGCCACAGCATCCTGAAACGCAGCCGAACCCACGAACCATTTCGCCCCTTGAGCTCGGGCGATACTTACAGAACGCGCGTGAGAAGTCTTCAGCTCGTTCAGCGCCTCCCCGGCAACATTGAGGTTCCTGTCAGCCTCGGCGACCTAATGCCTAAAGGAGCTCAGCTCGCGCTGAGCGCGGTCCCTGTCGGCCTTAGCCTTCTTGGCTCGTTCCTCAACTCGGGCGGCTTCTTCCTTAGCGGCCTTGATCCCGCTCTCTTTTTCAGCACGGGCTCGCTCCAGCTCCTCCCTGAGCTCATTGTTTCTGTGGGCAAGCTCGTCTGCCCGGCTCTCCACTGCAGCTGCACGGTTGGCCATCTCTAAACGTTGCAAACGGTTGACATCATCTGTAAGGCTGGCTTTCTGTACGGCCAACTGCTTGCAATTGGCACTGAGCTTGTTATTCTGAGAGCGAGCTACTTGCTCGCTCTCGAACATAGCAACGGCGTAGCTGAACGCCTGCCAAACAGCATCAGTTGTTAGTCTATCAGGTGCAATAGCAGGATAATCGTACAAATGCTAGCCACAAATAAAGGGATACTTACGTCCATTAACTTGATCATGGCCACCTGCTCGCCATGCTACTGCACGTAGCTCTTCGCTCGTAGCCGATCCGCTGAAGGCATGAAGCTGTGCATGTCTTGCACCATGGCGGGCTGGCACTCCAGCTTCACGTAGCTGAAGCCGTCAGGATACGCGATCCTGGGCGCCGACACTGAGGCCGACGCAGATGCAGGCTCTGCTGCTACCCGCGCAGTTGTTGATGGTGCGTTAGGTGAGCGCGCGGCCGTAAGTCGAACCGCCTGCGCAGGCTGAGCCCCTCCGCTTGTTCTCCGCCGAATGAGAGGGACCTCATCCTCACTCTCTGTCTCCTTGCGTACACGCCTGCGTGCACTGGGAGCCATATCAGCCCGTTGATTGTGGTGTGGCCGGGACCCCGAGCTCGATCCGCGGTGAGACGAGCTACGTGATTGGGGCACTGGCGGCGACCGCTCGTCAAACCGCGTCTGTCGTTGCGAGGTGCTGCTCGCCCCGCGACCTCGTGAGCCCTGGGCTCGTTGACGTTGGCGCTTGAGTATACTGCTCATTTCCTCTGCACAAACAAATGTATAAGACTCAGCTCGGCTAGAATACACTCTATATGATGAAAGTATACCTTCGCTGAACAGATTTGTCACGTCGACAAACCCGAACATGGCAAGATGCTCCGAGGTAACCAGGGCTTCTAGATCTATTAGATTCTCCCTCTTCGCATACTCAAGTAGCTGATTTTTCAGATATACATTCCAGGGCAGCAACTAGAGGTAGTTGACATGGGTGTTCGGCGTGCGCCACTCCGATAGCCGAGTAGCGAGGTCGTTGCTAATTCTTTCTGTTCGCGTATCGCAAACAAAGATGAATTGCCTCTTCCACCTCACCACCTTGTTCCTGACATTCTTAAACAGCTAGCTCTTATCCCTCCCAGAGAGGTAGTACCACTTGGCACCCCTAGAGTTCGGACACAGCCGGCACTGGAACAGCGACCTGAACACAATTGCCTTCGCTAGCACCTCCAACCTCGCACACAACAGCATAAAGCCTATGATGAAACTTATGCTGTTGGGCGTTAGCTGCGTCAGAGCAAGCTCGTAGTCCGCCAGCAGGTCGAACACTAGCCTGGGCAAAGGAAAGTGCAGGCCGGCCTCAAAGTGGTCCACGTACACTGGGATCCAGCCCGTCTGCGATACCGTGCACGCCCTCTTGTTGACGACCACTTAAGATTTTTCAAAACAATGAAAAATTAAGTGTGAAAAATATAAAAAAGAAGGAGTCGCCACTCATCCAAATTATAAGGTGGGACAAGTCACCTAAAATGGGTATGTGCAGAGATCGGGGTTCGGGGGTTCGGTTAGGAGTGAAGAAGGGCATACGCGCACCTCACAATACTCCGTTTAAACACGGTTGCATACTTTAACATTGGGGGTTTTGATTTAACTTATTTATTATATTTATATTTGGGTCTTAATAAACAAGTTCGAAAAAAGAGAAACCAACTTGAAACATTTTTTTATTTTTTGGATAAAAATAGACTAAATCAAAGACATGTACGCACAATAACATAAACAAGAAATTAAGGACTAACTTGATTAAATTCGAAAGATAAAGGACTGATTTGAACAGATTTAAAACCTAGGACTAAATTACTTAATTGTAAAACCCTTGGGTGAAATGGAAATGAAGAAAGATAATTTTTGACCTTTTGACCAAGATTAGAGGAAATTAATTAATTACATGATTAATTTAACACTAATTAAAATTAATTAAAATCAATTAATCATATTTATCAACTTTTAATTAAGATCATTAAATCATTAAATGTATCTAATAATCTCAAATCAAAGTTAATAAACATAATTAATTTATTTTAATTAAAGTTAATTAATTTTATTGTTCACAAATTAAATTTTTTTTTACTTTTTAACCCTTTTTAGTTTTTTTTTATATTGAATTGGGTCGACCCATCCCAGAAACACAACCCGCTATTTAAAATACAGAAAAACAGATCAAATCCACAAAAATAAAACTTGCAATTAGGGTTCATCAGTTTAAAGGAAGAACACATTCATCATAACAGAAAAATCTTATTCACCAACACAAAAAAAAGGCACACTCATCAGACAAAATGAACTGAACAATTTTTTTTGATTTTTTCATTCATTTTCCAACGAAACACATACAAACTTAAACACAGATCTAAACAAAATCAACAGAAAATAACAAAAACACCCACGGCGGAATTTTTAGGAGGTAGATCCAGATCGGAAGGGAGGGATCCCACCCATGGGACCAGGCTCCGTTCGTCTCCTTCACTATCCTTCCCAAAAATCCCTCTGTTCAGGAGATTACCTAAAGCAAGAATACCCTTTTGTTTTCCCACCTCCAGCGAGCAGAATCGATCTTCTTTTTAAACTCGACTCGAAAATCAACCAGCAAAAGACCCCCCCTCTTCTCCTCAGAATTTCCTTCTTCTGCTCTCAAAAACTCAGGCGAGACTCCCCAGCAAACAGACCCAAAATCAACCCCCACCCCCCTATTACTCTGCTTTTGCCCTATATATATACCCCAAATGATAAAAATAAAAATAAAATGCAACAAAAGACAAGGGCCTTGCTCTGTCAATCAATGACGCCAATTTGTCCGGTATTCCTTGTCTTTTCTGCATGAGAGGCAAGGATGGGGGCTGTAGTAATCAGCGGTGCAGAGGCGCGGGATTGGGGTGAGGCGCGGTGTGCAGGGAGGCAGGGGCGTGGAGTGCTGATGATGGCTCGGGCGTGCAGGGGCATCATTGCCAGCAGTGGGGCGCAGCAGGGCAAGCAGAGTGCAGGCGATCTGGTGCAGAGCGCAGGAGCTGGTGCAGAGCAAAGCTGGTGCAGAGCAAAGCTGGTGCAGGAAGCAAGGCCGGGCACAGCAGAATGCAGGCTAGGGCAGAGTGCAAACGATCTGGGCGCAGAGCAGGGAGTAGGGGCGTAGGTGCAAGGCTCGGGCGTCGGTGCAGGGCTGGTGCAGCAAGGCTGGGCGTGCGAGGGGGGAGAGGAAGCTGGAGATTGATGCAGAGGAGGGTGAAGGCTGATTCGGGAGAGAGAAAAGTAAAAGTAAAATGGAAGAAGGAGGTTCTAGAGAAAAACGATTTAATCTTTTTTTTCCTTTTTTTTTTTTTGGTTAAATGGGTTTGGTATTTGGGCTTGGGTTTGGGTAATTGTTGCTTCTGGATTTTTGTGTAATTTTTGGTTTTGGGATTTTGGGCTTGGGTAGTTGGTAGGCTTTGGGTTTTGGGTCATTGGGTTTGAGTTTGGTGGGTTTTGGATTGGGTTTGATGGGTTTTGGGCTAGACTTTGCATTTCACCCCTCCAACTTTCCATTTCTTCAGTTGAGTCCTTTTTCTAATCTTCTTTTCCAGTCTTCTTCGTAAAATTTCCTTTTTGCCCCCCCTTTTTTTTCTTTGAATGAACCTAACAAGTAAAACAAAGACAAAACATATTAGTAAAAATAAAAATAAAAATAAAATAAAATTCTACTAAAATTTGAGTTATGACACTTCTCACTCTTGGCACCAGTCTGGAGCAAGATCGTTATGGGGATGTGGTGCGCCCTCACCATCTCCTCCAGTTTCCTATACCCACTTATTGAGGGCGCACAGTCTGCTACTTCATGATGAAGCGCGGCCTTGAACCTAAAACCAGCGGGCAGATCCTTGGGTGCCTTTCGCAAATTGCTCAACCTGCCCGCGATTGTCCTGCTCTCCCACTCCCCAATCACAGGTTGATCTGAGACATTGCTCACTACATCCCCCATCCCTTCCTCGCAGCTTGGTGTCTCTTCAGAGGACGAGCTGCTAGATGACGCAGTAAGGTGTTCACCGCCGTTGTCCCTAGCGCTCGAACTGGCGCTGCTGTCTGGCCTCATTGTTTCTAGCACATCCTGCAACGCCGGTGGCACTATCATCGCGATATAACCCCCTCCCCTTCTTCTTCTCGGCCCTGGTTACCTCGTACCTCTGTAAGTTCTCTCAAGGAAACCATTTTACCTGAAATTGATGCGAAATGTAGAGTCTGGTTCGGTGCTTTGTTCTTCAAACTGGAGTGTTTCGCCACAGAGAATTTCAGAAAACTTCAAACAAACAGGGAAATGAAAATGGAAAAGTGAACGGTTACGTAAAGCATAAACCTAAAATTGCTGTGTTGATTGCCGTACGCGTGCCTTTGACACGCCAGTTAGCGTTTCACGCGTGGCAAGCGCCTAAGCCCTTCTCGTATAGCGTGCGCCGACTTTAGTTGTCGTGTTCCCTTAAATGCCGAGCCAGCATTTATGACGGGAAAGGCAGAGAGATACGGGGAGATCAATCGTATCTCTTCAGAGATTTAGGTGATTTGAAAAATCCCAAGGTCCAGATCGTAACGGCCGATATGCACCATCCCATCACATCTGCTCGCCAGTGTGAGCGCATTTACCAGGTCCGCTCAACCAGGACAGTTCATTCACGATTATAGCTTGTTCGCTAAAATTCGTTACAAGTTGGTATGCCCTTTTTTCCGTCCATTTCAGCTGGCCAGGTCGCTCACAAACCTTTTCACGGATCAATGAATATCTGAGGTCGCTCTATTTAACCTCACTGCCCATGCGAATTGATAAAGCATAATAATTATGATTGCGTGGGTGAGATCGCTTCGTCTCAGCTCGTCATTATGATTGCGTAACAGCATCATCGTCGCTTCAGTACCCTCGGTAGTACTCGTTCGTCAGATCGTCACGCGTTCTCTTGCGCTTCCATTAACATTGACGAGCTCGCCAGAATAGCGAATAGCACCTTGTGTGCATGACTATTCCCTGAACGAGCTCATTTGTGGTGAACTTCTTCAGCTCGCCGCTATAACCACCCCACACTAGTGTGGTTACGGATATCAGCTCGCCTGCACGCTTTCAGGCTCGCGAGCTCGCCTCTTTTCGTGCCACCCTTCAGCTCGGCCGTCGTCGAGATCGGCCACGAGCTGTTAAGGCTATCCATCATGCTCACCAGCTAGACCCAACATTCAAACCAGTTCGTCAACCGAACGCCGGGGGAGAGTAATGTTGGAATAGGCTCAACATAGGCCCAACATTCAAACAGGGCTGTGTGCAACGGGCCTAGGCTATTGCCCAATAACCCAAGTTAAGGGAACACTAATGCAAGCATGCCCATGTGACCAGCACCACGTAGGTCAATGGGATGCTCACATGTACAGATACATATCAGCACTTAGGGCTATAAATACCCCTCAACTACCTCCGATGAAGGTAATTAATCTCTACGCTTCTCTCTCTGCAATTACTCTTTGAGAGCATCTCTCTCTGCAATTACTCTTTGAGAGCATCTCTCTCTAGAATATTGAGTATTGCTGACTTGAGCGTTGGAGTATTTTTCCCGATGGAGCAGCCTCGGGATTTGCAGGTGTAAAAGCAGTTGAGGACTTCAACAGTGTTGGACTGCAACAGTGTTGGACTGCGAAGCTGCCTAAACAATATTAAACTTTAATACATCAAAATACAACAGATGTATTTTACCACCCCAACTGAGGCGGCGAATGCCGTTTCTCTGCTTTTTGATCTTTAAATTGGGAGGGGATTGAGACAAATTTGGTTTGTGAATTTATTTTTTGCTTTTAAACAAATATATAAATATAAATATTTTATTTTAAATATTTATTTAAATAATAAATATCATAATTATTTTTTAAAATTATTTAATTAAATAACAATATTACCTTTCGTCGTGACTTTTATTTATCCAAACTTGATTAATGTCATTCCTAAAACAGAAAAAAAAAATGATTAATGTCATTTCCACCTTTTCCTTCATTTCTAGCTGTTCTTTATTAACTTTTGTGGAAATAGATGCTTAACTCTTGTGCCTTTTTTTCCACTTCAATTTTTTTATTACGAAGATGTGGGCTGCGCAATAGGTGGCTAGAGTAGCCTTTCGTTGATCTTTTCAGTTGCTAGAAATTTATGGTAAGGATTTTTATTACGAAGGATTTTTAT